ATGTTGTGTAACATATGGTCTAAGAGAGATGCTGTTGTAACATATAGTCAAAGATAAATGTTGTTGTAACATATAGTCGAAGATAAATGTTGTTGTAACATATAGTCTAAGATAAATGTTGTTGTAACATATAGTCGAAGATAAATGTTGTTGTAACATATAGTCTAAGATAAATGTTGTTGTAACATATAGTCAAAGATAAATGCTGTTGTAACATATAGTCAAAGATAAATGCTGTTGTAACATATAGTCAAAGATAAACGTTGTTGTAACAATGGTCTTAGAGAGATGCTGTTGTAACATATAGTTAAAGATAAATGTTGTTGTAACATATGGTCTAAGAGAGATGCTGTTGTAACATATAGTTAAAGATAAATGTTGTGTAACATATGGTCTAAGAGAGATGCTGTTGTAACATATAGTCAAAGATAAATGTTGTTGTAACATATAGTCTAAGATAAATGTTGTTGTAACATATAGTCGAAGATAAATGTTGTTGTAACATATAGTCTAAGATAAATGTTGTTGTAACATATAGTCAAAGATAAATGTTGTTGTAACATATAGTCAAAGATAAATGTTGTTGTAACATATAGTCGAAGATAAATGTTGTTGTAACATATAGTCAAAGATAAATGTTGTTGTAACATATAGTCAAAGATAAATGCTGTTGTAACATATAGTCAAAGATAAATGTTGTAACATATGGTCTAAGAGAGATGCTGTTGTAACATATAGTCAAAGATAAACGTTGTTGTAACAATGGTCTTAGAGAGATGCTGTTGTAACATATAGTTAAAGATAAATGTTGTTGTAACATATGGTCTAAGAGAGATGCTGTTGTAACATATAGTTAAAGATAAATGTTGTTGTAACATATGGTCTAAGAGAGATGCTGTTGTAACATATAGTTAAAGATAAATGTTGTTGTAACATATGGTCTAAGAGAGATGCTGTTGTAACATATAGTTAAAGATAAATGTTGTTGTAACATATGGTCTAAGAGAGATGCTGTTGTAACATATAGTTAAAGATAAATGTTGTTGTAACATATGGTCTAAGAGAGATGCTGTTGTAACATATAGTTAAAGATAAATGTTGTGTAACATATGGTCTAAGAGAGATGCTGTTGTAACATATAGTTAAAGATAAATGTTGTTGTAACATATGGTCTAAGAGAGATGCTGTTGTAACATATGGTTAAAGATAAATGTTGTGTAACATATGGTCTAAGAGAGATGCTGTTGTAACATATAGTCTAAAGATAAATGTTGTTGTAACATATGGTCTAAGAGAGATGCTGTTGTAATATATGGTCCAAGAGAGATGCTGTTGTAACATATAGTCTAAGATAAATGTTGTTTTAACATATAGTCAAAGATAAATGCTTGTTGTAACATATAGTCAAAGATAAATGCTGTTGTAACATATAGTCGAAGATAAATGTTGTTGTAACATATAGTCAAAGATAAATGTTGTTGTAACATATAGTCAAAGATAAATGCTGTTGTAACATATGGTCTAAGAGAGATGCTGTTGTAACATATAGTCAAAGATAAACGTTGTTGTAACAATGGTCTAAGAGAGATGCTGTTGTAACATATAGTTAAAGATAAATGTTGTGTAACATATGGTCTAAGAGAGATGCTGTTGTAACATATAGTCAAAGATAAATGTTGTGTAACATATGGTCTAAGAGAGATGCTGCTGCAACTTAAAGTCAAAGATAAACGTTGTTGTAACAATGGTCTTAGAGAGATGATGTTGTAACATATAGTCAAAGATAAACGTTGTTGTAACAATGTCCTTAGAGAGATGCTGTTGTAACATATAGTCAAAGATAAACGTTGTTGTAACAATGGTCTAAGAGAGATGCTGTTGCAACTTAAAGTCAAAGATAAACGTTGTTGTAACAATGGTCTTAGAGAGATGCTGTTTTATCATCCAAAACTGTGTTCCACAGGAGATATCGCTTGTGTGAGATCAAACGATATCTCCTAGGAGATATCGCTTTGACAGTAGATTTTGTACAATGCCCTGACAATGCGATGACGTCATGTACTTGATGACATCACAATGCTATGACATCGCTGCACTGCAAGTGTAATGGCAGTACCATGTTAAGAGATGTACATTTTTCATTGAAAATTAATGAAGAGTGATTTTGGATGATAATAGAATTCATTTCAGTGTCTTTCTGATATCATATATCAACACTCGTTGATAGTGAAACATATCCTCGGCAAGCCTCGGATATTTGTAACTTTATCAACTCGTGTTGATATAATTGATATCAGAAGACACTTGGGTGAGATTCTCTATGTAACATATAGTCAAAGATAAACGTTGTTGTAACAATGGTCTTAGAGAGATGCTGTTGTAACATATAGTCAAAGATAAATGTTGTTGTAACATATGGTCTAAGAGAGATGCTGTTGTAACATATAGTTAAAGATAAAATGTTGTTGTAACATATGGTCTAAGAGAGATGCTGTTGTAACATATAGTCAAAGATAAATGTTGTTGTAACATATAGTCGAAGATAAATGTTGTTGTAACATATAGTCTAAGATAAATGTTGTTGTAACATATAGTCGAAGATAAATGTTGTTGTAACATATGGTCTAAGAGAGATGCTGTTGTAACATATAGTCAAAGATAAATGTTGTGTAACATATGGTCTAAGAGAGATGCTGTTGTAACATATAGTCAAAGATAAATGTTGTTGTAACATATAGTCTAAGATAAATGTTGTTGTAACATATGGTCGAAGATAAATGTTGTTGTAACATATAGTCTAAGATAAATGTTGTTGTAACATATAGTCAAAGATAAATGCTGTTGTAACATATAGTCAAAGATAAATGCTGTTGTAACATATAGTCGAAGATAAATGTTGTTGTAACATATAGTCAAAGATAAATGTTGTTGAAACATATAGTCAAAGATAAATGCTGTTGTAACATATGGTCGAAGAGAGATGCTGTTGTAACATATAGTCAAAGATAAACGTTGTTGTAACAATGGTCTTAGAGAGATGCTGTTGTAACATATAGTTAAAGATAAATGTTGTTGTAACATATGGTCTAAGAGAGATGCTGTTGTAACATATAGTCAAAGATAAATGTTGTTGAAACATATAGTCAAAGATAAATGCTGTTGTAACATATGGTCTAAGAGAGATGCTGTTGTAACATATAGTCAAAGATAAACGTTGTTGTAACAATGGTCTTAGAGAGATGCTGTTGTAACATATAGTTAAAGATAAATGTTGTTGTAACATATGGTCTAAGAGAGATGCTGTTGTAACATATAGTTAAAGATAAATGTTGTTGTAACATATGGTCTAAGAGAGATGCTGTTGTAACATATAGTTAAAGATAAATGTTGTGTAACATATGGTCTAAGAGAGATACTGTTGTAACATATAGTTAAAGATAAATGTTGTTGTAACATATGGTCTAAGAGAGATGCTGTTGTAACATATAGTTAAAGATAAATGTTGTTGTAACATATAGTCAAAGATAAATGCTGTTGTAACATATAGTTAAAGATAAATGTTGTGTAACGTATGGTCTAAGAGAGATGCTGTTGTAACATATAGTTAAAGATAAATGTTGTTGTAACATATGGTCTAAGAGAGATGCTGTTGTAACATATAGTTAAAGATAAATGTTGTGTAACATATGGTCTAAGAGAGATGCTGTTGTAACATATAGTTAAAGATAAATGTTGTTGTAACATATGGTCTAAGAGAGATACTGTTGTAACATATGGTCTAAGAGAGATGCTGTTGCAACATATAGGCTAAGATAAATGTTGTTTTAACATATGGTCTAAGAGAGATGCTGTTGTAGCATATAGTCAAAGATAAATGTTGTGTAACATATGGTCTAAGAGAGATGCTGTTGTAACATATAGTCAAAGATAAATGTTGTTGTAACATATAGTCTAAGATAAATGTTGTTGTAACATATAGTCGAAGATAAATGTTGTTGTAACATATGGTCTAAGATAAATGTTGTTGTAACATACAGTCAAAGATAAATGCTGTTGTAACATATAGTCAAAGATAAATGCTGTTCTAACATATAGTCGAAGATAAATGTTGTTGTAACATATAGTCAAAGATAAATGTTGTTGAAACATATAGTCAAAGATAAATGCTGTTGTAACATATGGTCTAAGAGAGATGCTGTTGTAACATATAGTCAAAGATAAACGTTGTTGTAACAATGGTCTTAGAGAGATGCTGTTGTAACATATAGTTAAAGATAAATGTTGTTGTAACATATGGTCTAAGAGAGATGCTGTTGTAACATATAGTTAAAGATAAATGTTGTTGTAACATATGGTCTAAGAGAGATGCTGTTGTAACATATAGTTAAAGATAAATGTTGTGTAACATATGGTCTAAGAGAGATGCTGTTGTAACATATAGTTAAAGATAAATGTTGTTGTAACATATGGTCTAAGAGAGATGCTGTTGTAACATATGTTCTAAGAGAGATGCTGTTGCAACATATAGGCTAAGATAAATGTTGTTTTAACATATGGTCTAAGAGAGATGCTGTTGTAGCATATAGTCAAAGATGAATGTTGTGTAACATATGGTCTAAGAGAGATGTTGTTGCAACGTATAGTCAAAGATGAATGTTGTGTAACATATGGTCTAAGAGAGATGCTGTTGTAACATATAGTCAACGATAAATCCTGTTGCTAAATATGGTCTAAGAGAGATGCTGTTGTAACATATGGTCTAAGAGAGATGCTGTTGTAACATATAAGCTAAGATAAATGTTGTTGTAACATATGGTCTAAGAGAGATGCTGTTGTAACATGTAGTCAAAGATAAATGTTGTTGTAACATATGGTCTAAGAGAGATGTTGTTGCAACGTATAGTCAACGATAAATTCTGTTGCTAAATATGGTCTAAAATAAATGTAGTTGTAGCATATAGTCTAAGAGATACCACTGGATAGAAACAAATTAGGCTCACCTGCTGAAAGACGGACACACATTGTTAGCAACACCGCACAGCACCACACAGCCATTATTGGTGGGAGGAAAGTAGCAAACAGCGTACAATATTAACACAAACACCAGGGTGGACCCTGTGCTGGCCTGGCAAAGTTTATACTCTCCCACTTGTTGCACTTGGCATGCAATCGCATGATACGAAGTGGGCCTAAGGAGAGCTCTCAAGTGGTGACCTCCAGACGTCCCATCTCTCATGCTTCGTCCTTCTAAAGATTTACATTTGATTTTCTAACTTAACGATCATTCGCATAATATTTTTGTCATAATAATATGGGTGGGTCTTCAGTATTATTTTAAATGTAATCACATACATGTAGATGAACTACCTGAAACGGTGCGTGTGTGCGCGAGCATGCATGTGTCTGTGTTGCTGTTATCAAAGGGACACTGAATACTACCGATTTTACACATGATATGCCGCGTTTCCTTCAATCCCCCATATAGATGTTACACAGCATTTGTTTAACTTGCTAATAGTAAGGCAATGACTTGGTGTCAATACATAATAACATTACATGATCACAACGGTTCTGATAATCCTGTTGATCGCAAAAACCACAAGTGTACATACACTGCGCTCATGTGACAAGTCTCTCCTAACTGTACCCTCCTCCCATACCAAAATGTTTGGCGACCGCTCTTTTGAACGTGCAGGACCCCTTCTCTGGAACAGTCTCCCACTTGACATAAGAACCGAGCAAACATTGTCCACGTTCAAATCTAAGCTCAAAACTTTCTTCTTCAATATGGCATTTCAGTGACCCTTTCCAATTATCTCAGACACTAGCGCTTTTGAGCAGCTTACGCTAGATACTAGCGCTTTAAAAATGTTTGTATGTATGTATGTACATACATTTATGAAGAGGCGGCATATGACATCCCATCTGAATGAATCAGGTTCAAGTACCTACTTAACTCCAACTACTCGAAGAGCCGTTTACAGATATTTTCCTGTCCATGTCCATCTCAAAGTTAACACAGGCGAGTGCAACGTCAGCCTGCAAGTTGTCGGAAAATACCCATTCAAACATATGTTGATGGGAAATGTACTCTGGACTAGACAATCCAGTGATCAACAGCATGAGCATCGATCTGAGCAATTGGGAACCGATGACATGTGTCAACCATGTCAGCGAGCGTGACAACCCGATCCCGTTAGTCGCCTCTTACGACAAGTATGGGTTACTGAAGATCAATATTCTACGTTATGCAACGTTTAAAAGTTTCAGTCAAAATTTCTGGGAATGGGTTGTTACAATGTTCTTGATCATGGGTCATCATGACCGAGCTGCACAAATTGTCTATCCTGACATCGATCAGCCATCCTGGCTCGGGGTTGATTTATATATAATAAACTTTCTCGACATCGCTATATGGCTGTAATATTACCGATGCGATGTTAAATTTTAACTCACTCACTCACTATAATAAACTTTCACAGCTGAAACCTGAAACAAACCCATCTCGTAATGAGATTGCCTTAAAAATATATCTTGAAAAGTCTACTAATGTCAATTGTTTCTTCAAATATTTTGTATTGTACACGTTTCTCAAAACTTTCGGTATTAATTGTCATAATTGATATGTGATGATGGATTTAGCATAAAGACCACGCTTACATGATGTAGTTGATATCATCAGTGACCCACTCAGTTTAAGCCTCAACGCCTAACTAACTTTCATGTAATGTACGTTTTTTCATTGGTCTACAGTTTCCATAAGCCACATAGAAGCATTCTCATTGGCTTAATAGCGTGCACTTAAAAAACATGCATTTCACGCGACCATGCTCTCTGCCTGATCGGCCTATGCAGGTAGCAAAGGTACTGTAAGTCCCCATGGTCCCTAGTATGGCGATCTACCTTCAGTTGTTGGCGATCTATAGCCCGTTTTTATATTGTATTGTCCAAATAGTGCTATCAGTTTAAACTTTTAGTTGTAATTCTAGTTGTTTTACTGTCCTTCGTCGACAGGTTTTTATAATATACATATCTTCCCTTTCAATGTTACATATGTTCTCGTCACGATGTGACTGAAATATTGCCGATGTGTCGTAATAATAACTCACTCACTCACTCTGCCTGATCATTTGGCTAGTGGCTTTCGGGAAGGAACAACCCTCCAGAAGTATGGGCAATCGTACTTTTGTTTCACCTAAAATATGGAAAACATCGATATCGGAAAGTTTATAAATAGCGATTATTTTATTTATCTATGAATTTTCACGTTTAGCATTTCTAAATGCCATTCAAAGACTTTTATATCACGATGATAAGTTTTGAAACTCGTCGAACACCCACGAACAATGTTTCAGAAAATACGCAAATAAAACGGAAAAATAATGTTTATAAAATTAAAACTTACATAATCACAAATATTGTATGCCGGTGGTACATTCTGAGCAGTAATACATACAATGACAATCCAGCAAGGTCACAATACAAATCGTCCAGGTTACATCAAGCGTAGTAAAATAGGTGTGAAAAAGGAGCGCTCAGCCTGGTGAACAAAACACTGGCACAAAAGTTGTATATTGTTGAAAAAGCATGCAATGAGAGTTGCAGCAATAAGTAGGGAAATAAAGGAAAATGAGTTGGCAAAATCAACAAAACGAACTATAAATAGTTAGACATAGACGAGATTGCAAAAAGATGGGTTATACCTGAAATTGAGGTTAGTTGTACGATCGAACTCATTTTAAAAATACAAAAACACATTATACGAAATCAGTTCTGATGTAGAGTTAATTGTTCCAACTATATGTACATGTAATGTATAGTATGACCAGAAATTATTGAGAATTTTCTGAATATGTTTAATTGGATTTCTAGTAGAAACAACCTTGACCAGCTATCAAGTGCTTGGTTTCATACAAGAGAGACAACTCCGTTAACCCTTTTTCATTAGTTTGTGAAGAGTTATCTCCCTTTGTTTACTTGCTAGCAGTCGACATTTTCAGTGATCCTCAGTATGGATGATTTAGAGAAGAGGAAGTTGATATTAGAGTATTATAACAGGGACATCAGATCAGCTAAAGCGATTTCAAGTAGAACAGGCATCCCTTTGTCCACTGTTTATCGTGTTTTAAAAAATATTGCAAATGGATACGGCATTGAGCACCAGGGAGGCGCAGGTAGGCCCAGAAAATTGACTGTCGGTGAACCTTTGTATCAGCGCCCAAAGTACAGTCCGAAATTTAACGTGTGGGGTAGCATGTCTGTGTTTCTGGCAACGCCCCTCTGTGTATTTGAAGGGAATATGAACAGTGAGCGGTACACAGATATTCTCGAGGGACATTTACTTCCATCTGCTCACGTGTTCTATGGAAATTTTTGGTTTCGGACCCAAAATATGACATTATTTGATTGGCCAAGCTATAACCCTGACCTAAATCCAATAGAAAATGTTTGGGGACTTATGAAGGAAAGTGTCAATAAGAAAAATCTGACAAATATTGCTGAAATGAAAAGAAGAGGTGGTCCGATATTGGGACAGCATGGACCACGACTTTCTATCTTCTTTGATCAGTAGTATGCCCCGCCGCATTGAAGCTTGCATTGCTGCCCATGGTGACTTGACAAAATACTAACTGTTCACCTGTCTTTGAATCTGGAGTTATGTTCTGCTAATATTCACATTCAATACGTGAGTAATGAGTGAAATTTTATTTTAAAATTACAATCTTTAAATTCTCAATAATTTCTGGTTGTTCTGTACAAGAGTTCAACTACCAGCTCCATACAAGAGATGGTAAAGTGTGTTTCTGTCCCCGAGCATGACAAAGATATTACCCATCAGAAAACCCGTCGATGAAACTGTGGCAAAACTAACTATAGTTACTTTAATCGTTAACATATTGACTAAAAAGGCATTGATAACACTAAAACAATATTTTGTCCTGGTCTATGATATCTTACCTGCAAGCATATGTTTTCAATTATTGAAGTTCCACTTGTGATTATCTCTTAATTCTATGACAGTGTATGATTAAGCGTGTTTGTCTCATTGTTGCATGATGACCCTTTAAGTCACGATATTGCTAAAATATTGCCAAAGTGACTATAACTTTTAACTCACTCACTCACTATTGTTGCATGCATTATAGTTTTTGACAATGATTAGGTCATCCATTCCCTCGACCCTGCAAAATAAGCTTATGTATACGGATGTTATCGACCGGTTGCATCCATTGTAAAGCCTTTGTAGAACGCTCCGCACCTTGTTCCAGTCCAGTTTTGTTGTAGGAGACCCCAACTTCTGGATGAGTGAGTGAGCCAGTGAGTTAACATTTTACGTCACATCGGCAATATTCCAGCCATATAAATACAAAAATATTTATAAACTATGAAGTCGTGTTGTCAAAGAACAGTAAAATAAATTAATTAAAAACATTTAAAATACTAAACTTTGAATTAACGATATAAGATCAAAAGAGCAGAGAGAACGAGCAATCAAAGTTAGGCCACCAAACCCGGGGCCGTCGCGACTAAAAATACATTTGCTTCATGTACCATTCCCCACCAGAATTTATACCATACCACCCCTTCAGCTGCAAGAGATTGTCCCCACTGTTTGTCGTTTCATAACTTATTCCACTATTCTACGTTAAAAACGGTGTTAGAAATGAATATGCTGTAAATGGTCTGGACTTACATACCCTCCCGGGGACCATACTTTTACGGTTCTATAACCCACGTCAAGGTAACAGCCACTAAAAACCGAAGTTAATAATCATGTACTCTCTATCTATAAAATAACATAATGTACATCAAATTCAATCGATGAATTCAATTACTTTTAAAAAAGAATTTTTAAATGATAAATAATATTATTAAAAAATATCCTTTAAAGATAACGCTTTGACATTTTTCTCCTTTGTGAAGTCAATACAGTCAAAGGCTGGTATCATAAACATTACATACATCTAAACACCTACCAAGCCACTTATCTCGAAAAATTGCATACATTAAAAATTATCCACAGAAATTGTTTTGCATCAAGTCTGGTTGTGTCAAGAAACCCATGGTAGCATTGTACTGTTCTGTCATGAAAAGACGTCACACAGAGATACAATTGTTTGAATGTTTCTAATCCGCCAGTACACTCTAGCAGCGCATAGAGCTGGGGATCACATGTTGGCGTAGATGTTCTGGGACTCCAGGTAAGCTGCTGCCACGTCGTAACACAGGTCAACGTCAGTCTGAAATGTGTTGTAAACTGTTATGTTTACAGTGAGTGGGACTATGAAATTGTCTGAACAGAAAATATTCAGGTATTTCAGAAGGAAAAATATCCCATAGCGGCTTGAGACACTTTTACGTAAGTAGGTTAATGCATAAAGTGACCAATCCTTTCTATGGTCAAAGAACTCGATGCCAAAAACACACTTCGCAGTACTGCGTTATTGCCAAAATAGCATCTGTCACTTTGACGACTTTCTCTTGAAGGCATTATGTATCCACTGTACATTCTGACTTCATCCAGATGTGGCTGTAAATGTGGCTGTTTCGCGAAAAGTGACTGCTCCCGTGGATGAGTAAGATTCAGTAATTCGTTATACGCAGTTCATCTTTATTGAGCCAACACTTGTGTAAACACTGAGACGTAACTACTATAGGTACGATAATTGAAGAAACCTGCAAGACACTACCTCCGTGATGTCCTGATCCAGACAGTGGCCCACAGCTCTCATGTTGTTGTAGATCTCAGCTCGTTTGTCATACTTCAGGCCTTGGACAATATTGCTCAGGATGCATAACATTGCTCCGTTCTGCCTGCCGCCATCGCTGTAACAAACAGGGAGAGCCCAAGTTAGAGCGGGTGATATCGATGAAATGAATATTTGTTACTTTAAGCAACATCATAATAATGCGTGAATCACGTCAGAATGTTGCAGCTTTAGTGACATGGTGGACCAGGCAAATCGTGACGGTTTGTAGCGCGATACACTCAGTAATATCACAACACTTGTCGGTGATTATGGCTCTGATGATATATTACAAACTCTTTGATTAATGCACCAGTGACCAAAAGTATTTTCGATGCGAATTTCTATTTTCACTTATACAATAAGTTGTCGTTCTCATGGTGAACAGCAGTCTCGCCTGTGCGTGTGTTTGTGACGAGTGGGACAGGAAACGCTCATCTTGATGCGAACACTTCGTATCATCACTTTCTTGTAGTGATTCACAAACACCTGTGTCATACTTGATGTTGATTCCTTGTTTTGTGTACTTTCCTTACCTGTACATAACAGTGACAGTGTTGGGATTGACGTCTCCCTGCGTGGCGGTCCAGTTCTTCCAGAAGTTCCAAGAAAGCCGAAGGGGATTGAGCAGGTAAATTGTTCAAGATGTACACCCGCACATGTGTTGGTTGAGAGTTCTGTTAGCAAACGAATATGTAAGTTATAAGCCTAATACCCCCAGCGCACATAAGATGCAGTCAAACTGATCTAATGATTGTGTGCTTCAAACCTGAAAACTACATCGTTTATATAAGAGTTCAGCCATGCATTGTTGGCGTACCTCCATCTGTCTGTGGATGTTCAGGAGGGTGATGTCAGTGTTGACGGGAATCTCAGTGGAACATCTGACAGTCACAGGGTCCAGATCTAGGCTGTCTCCTGGGGATGGAACAAAACTGGACAGACTCTGAAACATAAAGAGTCAGTTTGGATGGAATTAGAGTATGTGGTTATGTGGAGGTGTTATTCATTGTGGAACAGGGTTGTATTGTATTACAATGATTCCTGGTTATTCCAGCGCGGTCTGAACAATAGAGTTAGAGAAAGTTCTGGAAGCACTTTTTATGCACTAATTCGTGCTTCCGTCATCTAACATTACAAAATTACAAAGTGTGAGTAAGTGAGTTAATATTTATTGTCACATCGGCACTATTTCAGCCATATCGTGACGAGAACAATTAATTAACAAAATTACAAAAGACGATCAGTTGTATGGAGATCACTTTGCACTTTAGATATTTTGGCAAATTGACCATTGTTACAGGGAGGTGATCCTATCCATGCTATAGTTACTGCTTTTATATTACACTCATGGAAACGAATAAGGGAACACCTGAAAGTACAAGTGTTCCTTTATTCTTTACTAGGTTTTTTTCTCAAGCTTTGTATTGCACTGTGGGTGAAAGTCTGGAAAAGAATAGAGGAACACTTGTACTTTCAGGTACAGTTTCAGTTTCCTATTTCCCTTCCATGAGTATATATTGCCATATAAGTTATATTGCCACTCTATTCTGTACTGCCATTGGAATTACATTGTTATAATTTGCAGAGATTTGTACACTGAAATGATATGGCATTTCTTTGTTGGTTGTTGTCAAATTCTTTTAAGGAAAGAATACCAGTAAACTTATTGTTTCAACTTAGGAGTCAACACGTAACAGTGTGACAATGTGAGCAGCATAACCCACCTGGTGCGAGTCTGGCGGGACAATGACGGTGGAAGACTCCTGTTCCTCTGTGAGTTTCCAGAACAGAGACGCCGTGGTGACGGAGGGGGCCTCAGTTAACAGGTAGCCGTTCATGGACAGGTGGGACTGAAGTTTAATAAATACCAGATTAGGACTATGTATAGAGACACTTAATGATGTTCCTATCATTAACCAGTTTACAGGTAGCCGTTCATGGAGAGGTAGGACTGAAGTGAAGATGATTAAAAGTGTTATTCTCTTTCTACATGGATTGCCATGCTGTTACTCAAGAAGGTAGCATCGACTGACAGTTACCACGAACAATGTTCAGGACTTAGAAATCGAAAATTAAACTTTCAAAATGTACTAAATTGACTTTAATGTTACTTTTCTTTGCCCCACCATGTAACAAATACAATCTTATAAAAAAACGCCGCTGTTTACTGATGTTTCACAGATCCCAAATGTAACAAATAAAAATCTGTACCTGCAGGCGGATAGACAGGATGTCTGAGCGTCCATTTATCCACACCTGACCTTTCACGCTTGTTTCTGAAACAGGAATTGAATGACATTTTTCCTCGCCTGATTTTGAAATCATTTCGACGAATTGATAATGATATTACATTTCAATAACTATAGCAGGGTTCTACATTTGTTGATTTACTGATACAATATATTCAGTTGTATACTAGATGTATGTACCAGGTGGGATGATTGATCTCTTGCCAGAAATACGAGAAGAATACAAAACATGTCAGGGCATCCGAAAGACACCGAAACAAGTTAGCGTCCGCATTTCAATCATGCTCACCGTTGGACTGCTCCTTTCGTTGGGTGTTCAGGGTCTACAACGACAAAAACATATCTTGAACATTTGAAGGTGTTGTCAAGCCACAGTTTTCATTGTTACTTTACCGAAAGTGAGTGAGTGAGTGAGTTAATATTTAACGTCACATCGGCAATATCTCAGCCATATCGTGACGAAAACAATTTATAAAATAAAAAGTGAAAACATTTGGAAGATTAAAACCTGTCGACGATGGACAGTAAAAATACTGGAGATCACAGATATTAATATAACTGTACCGAAAGCAAATATATATGATCAGAGTTGTGTTATGACAAAGCAGCTACCTCTATGAACCTGGTGATTGACATCCGACCTGTGGAGAAAGTCCCTTTCACATTTCGGTTGCTCCTGAATTCCTCGAGGCTGATGGCGGTATTGCCAACCTGGAGTGTTTCATGCAGGGCCGTATACAGACACGTGTACTGCTCCTAATACAATAACACATTCAATAGGTGAAAGCGGTTATGGTTTTTAACACACGTGTGCGGCTCCTTATGCAATAAAACATTCAGTAGTTGAACATGGTTATGGTTTTTAACACACGTGTACGGCTCCATAGCAATAAAACATTCAGTAGTTGAACATGGTTATGGTTTTTAACACACGTGTACGGCTCCATATGCAATAAAACATTCAGTAGTTGAACATGGTTATGACTTTTAACACACGTGTACGGCTCCATATGCAATAAAACATTCAGTAGTTGAACATGGTTATGACTTTTAACACACGTGTACGGCTCCATATGCAATAAAACATTCAGTAGTTGAACATGGTTATGGTTTTTAACACACGTGTACGGCTCCTTATGCAAGAAAACATTCAATAGTTGAACATGGTTTTTATGACGGCTCCTTATGCAATAAAACATTCAGTAGTTGAACATGGTTATGACTTTTAACACACGTGTACGGCTCCTTATGCAATAAAACATTCAGTAGTTGAACATGGTTATGACTTTTTACACACGTGTACGGCTCCATATGCGATAAAACATTCAATAGTTGAACATGGTTATGGGTTTTAACACACGTGTACGGCTCCATATCCAATAAAACATTCAATAGTTGAACATGGTTATGACTTTTAACACACGTGTACGGCTCCTTATGCAATAAAACATTCAGTAATTGAACATGGTTATGACTTTTAACACACGTGTACGGCTCCTTATGCAATAAAACATTCAGTAGTTGAACATGGTTATGGTTTTTAACACACGTGTACGGCTCCTTATGCAATAAAACATTCAGTAGTTGAACATGGTTATGGTTTTTAACACACGTGTACGGCTCCATATGCAATACAACATTCAGTAGTTGAACATGGTTATGGTTTTTAACACACGTGTACGGCTCCATATGCAATAAAACATTCAGTAGTTGAACATGGTTATGACTTTTAACACACGTGTACGGCTCCATATGCAATAAAACATTCAGTAGTTGAACATGGTTATGGTTTTAACACACGTACGGCTCCATATGCAATAAAACATTCAGTAGTTGAACATGGTTATGACTTTTAACACACGTGTACGGCTCCATATGCAATAAAACATTCAGTAGTTGAACATGGTTATGACTTTTAACACACGTGTACGGCTCCATATGCAATAAAACATTCAGTAGTTGAACATGGTTATGGTTTTTAACACACGTGTACGGCTCCTTATGCAAGAAAACATTCAATAGTTGAACATGGTTATGACGGCTCCTTATGCAATAAAACATTCAGTAGTTGAACATGGTTATGACTTTTAACACACGTGTACGGCTCCTTATGCAATAAAACATTCAGTAGTTGAACATGGTTATGACTTTTTACACACGTGTACGGCTCCATATGCGATAAAACATTCAATAGTTGAACATGGTTATGACTTTTAACACACGTGTACGGCTCCTTATCCAATAAAACATTCAATAGTTGAACATGGTTATGGGTTTTAACACACGTGTACGGCTCCATATCCAATAAAACATTCAATAGTTGAACATGGTTATGACTTTTAACACACGTGTACGGCTCCTTATGCAATAAAACATTCAGTAGTTGAACATGGTTATGACTTTTAACACACGTGTACGGCTCCTTATCCAATAAAACATTCAGTAGTTGAACATGGTTATGACTTTTAACACACGTGTACGGCTCCTTATGCAATAAAACATTCAATAGTTGAACATGGTTATGACTTTTAACACACGTGTACGGCTCCATATGCGATAAAACATTCAATAGTTGAACATGGTTATGACTTTTAACAAGTGTACGGCTCCATATGCAATACAACATTCAGTATTTGAACATGGTTATGACTTTTAACACACGTGTACGGCTCCATATGCGATAAAACATTCAATAGTTTAACATGGTTATGACTTTGAACACACGTGTACGGCTCCTTATGCAATAAAACATTCAATAGTTGAACATGGTTATGACTTTTAACACACGTGTACGGCTCCTTATGCAATAAAACATTCAGTAATTGAACATGGTTATGACGTTTAACACACGTGTACGGCTCCATATGCAATAAAACATTCAATAGTTGAACATGGTTATGACGTTTAACACACGTACATACTGTCCTAATGCACTAAAACATTCAATAGTAGAAGATGGTTAGGAATTTGTGTACTGCTCCTGATGCAATAAAACATTCAATAGTTGAACGTGGTAATTACTTTTAACACACGTGTACTGCTCTTAAAGCAAAACACATTCAAAACAGTCATTCGAAATCATGGTTGTGAAGTGGAGAATGAAACACTGATCAGATTGGGTTTCTTGGAGTGCATTTATATATCAGGAAACAACAATGTGTAGGTTTCGGTTTTAGTTTCTAATTATTTCACTTTCCCACCTTGGTCTGTATCATGCCCTTCCTCTGGTCTCTCATCCCCGAGACACAACCAAACACATCCACCGCATCTTCAGCCAGAGCCTGGTCCAGCAGGTAGTCCAGGGCGATGTAAGTTCCTGTCCGGCCGATCCCAGCACTGAATGTTGAACCAATGTCATGTTTAATTCGCAAACCATTTAAAAAATACTAATACAATCAATTAGTTCACTACTTGAAACATGGAACAAATAATGTGTCGTTATATAACAAAACTTATTTGTACCTTCTGGCAAAGACCCTAAAGTTAACCTGTCTGTAAACATAACCAATAAATTAAGAAACCAATACTACTACTCGTGTGTCTAGTACCAGTATCAGACATGACGATGTCCATATGTTCTAACTGGGTTTAACAAGCAACATTGTTTTCAATATACATGTAAATATGTTGGCAGAGCATCTACCTGCAGTGAACCAGTAGCGGGTCATCCTGTGTGGTACGTGATGTCCTGACCAGCCACAGAAACTCAGTCAAGGCCATCTCCTCGGGAGTTCCATGATCCGGCCATGTTGTGAAGTGGAACTGATTGAAACATCGTCTTGTGTTTGTCTGAAGTTGTGCAAAAAACACAACCATCTGAGCTTTGTGCTTCATTGAGTGAATAGTGACAGGGCTGACTACGAAGCTGAGTTTATGAACCATTCATATTCGAATACTTTCATGTTACAGATCAATTACAGTCAAATACAATGTTTGTGAAAAAAAACCTGGACACGAATTGAGGAACACTTATATACTTCTGTGTTTCCCTGTTTATTTCTGTCAATATATTTACTGCCTACATCTATGTCAAATGAATGGATGTCGTACCTGTCTGTCTGTGACCTGCAGTTCTCTGACAACCCAGTTAGCTCGGATACTGGAGTCGGTCACAGAGATGATGAAGTCACCAGTGTTCATGTCTGTTGTGTCAGACCAGTACGCGACGCACTTCACCTGCAGTTAACAAATAATGTCTTTTGATGGAATCATTGCAAATACATGCTTTTCAACATTTTAATAGTAACATATATCCCAACGTTTATGTAACAATAGAATTAACCGTTTGTATTTCGCTTTTGAAAACCATAACATCATTGAAACGTTTGCAGCTGGTCATAAACAGAAATCAACTTGCATATGAAAGGTTGCTCAAGAAAATGTTTTGGTCACTGTGGATGATACATCAAATTGACAAACTAGAAGATATAGCGACCAACGCTATTTCTCAAGGAATAGCATGTAAGTTAGCAGAGATTACATATCCGTGACATGTTAATTGTAGCACCATGATGTGCTGGTTGTTTGTATTGCTGATGTATTTGATAAATGATATCAGGAGACGGACCCTTCCCAACTCCTTCAGGTTTGTCAACATGACGATTCTTGTACAGTTCTGTTCCCAGATCATCCTCCAGAAGTCTGTCAAGGTCATTCTGTTGGGAGCTGTCGGTGAAAGATAAGTTAGGTCATGTCGTTTTGTGGAAATCACTCCTCCGCGTAAAGGGAGTACCGCCAGACATGTGGCAAGCAATGAGTTATATGTATAAGTTATAAGTAATTTAAACTGAGAATTTGTTTATAAAAAGAACCCGTGCATTCAAAGGCCTAACCACAACGAGTGCCCATTAAGAGTTCTGATTCGGGGAAATTTCACATGTAGAAAAATATTTAAAGTATAATATTCTTAATCCCTCTTTTCATATCACAGATAAATATATTTGTTCCTTTGTTCTGGAATATCATATATGTAGTTCATATCATATGTTGTTACAGTGATTACCTCGTTAATTGTATGGATAAAGTGCAGACTACCAGTTGTCCGACTTCGATTTTGTGGCTGAGCGGGTTAGGCAGCTGACATTGTGTACTTTCGATTAGGTGCCTGACCCTGAGGGTGTGGGTTCTAATCCCTGGTGGGATTCAATCCAACAAGAGTACTAGAATCTGTACTTTATTGAGAAAGTGTAATCCCAAATATAACATGTGTTGCAGGTTCATTGTATTCTCGTACCACCCTACCTGGATATAACATTAGCATAGAACACTAGTGTAATTGACACGGGTATATGATTGATCACAACAAAGCACCAGGGTTGACCGCAAGACGAGTGGAAGTGTCAGGAAAGATCACGACAGGGCCGAAAGTATCAGCACAGGCCATGACACGAGTGTAATTAGAAGGATAAACCATGCATCAGCGTTAGCATCACGATCATTGTAACTACAGACCATTGTGACTACCAGGGAAGACCATTAAAATAGTGTAAGTAGAAGGAGAGACTATATCTCCGATAGATCGTTACATGATTGTAACTACCAGGATAGACCATTACAATAGTGTAAGAGGAAACACGATCACAAGAAAGTAACTACCATGATAGACCATGACATGATTGTAAGTACAAGGGTGGACCATAAGACCAGTGTTAGTATCACGACAGATCCTTGACATATCAAGCTCCAGGATAGACTCTTGACAGATCAAAGGGGGCAGAAGCACAGATCATTACACGACTGTAAGCATGCGTAACCGTACCTTGTGCTGCTATGTAGGCTTTGGGTTGAGAGTATCCCTATTGAAACAATACATGACATTAAATATAGCTACATGTAGTACAGTCACTACAGTAACAGAAACAACAACAACAACATCAACAATAAGCATTTGTAAACAAAACTTCACAATTATCATCATTTCCTTAAAGAAATGCGATATCCAACTCACATTGATGTAGCTGGCGTTGATGTAGTCGGAACCAGGCTGGTCTGGCAACTCCTGCAACACGACCCGAGTGGCATCGTCTGTAATACAGGAGACTGTGATGTAGGAGACTCTACAATACGGACAACATAAGGGTTGTGCTCTCCATAAGGACGTATGACAAAAAGGGTGACTTCAATTTTCCAATAATCAGCTTTCCGTTTATGTTGAGCAATATCCGGCCTATCAATACTTTTGACGTACAAGTGTTTGAACTGCTCACAGGATGTCAAAGAGCGTCATATAAATCTTGCTCAGTTGTTAGATCTATTTGACATCAAAATCATGTCAGATGCAATTCCCTATTTTGGCGATACATTCCCGTGTTTCTTTTCAGGTGAACAACGTTTATTTGGTAATGGCGGGCGCTACAGATAGAACATCCTGTTTTGATTCAGACTGACAAACACAAGCTCATGACGTAGTCAGAACTGTACTCTCATTTAACGGGGATTTCTTGTGGACGTGAAAAGGGATTTGTTGCTTTTATGTGGGAGAGCTGAACATCAAGCAACATGGTTACTCAAAGAAATGAAAGGTAAAATATACATGTTCATCCATCAGTCACGATGGCCACGGTTATGTAAGTCAATATAGATGTATTTTGAACAATACAATACAATAATACGGGCAAGAGAACGCATTCTCTAAGAATTACCTAGTGTATATAAGCATTGTTGTAATGGACTACAATGAAGTCTTATGCACACTTCGATACCTTTACAACATTAGTGTCCAAAGTTAATGGAATGGACATTTACGAACCAACACCCACAAATCACTAACTGTTTCCAGCTGCCCTACCCTGTCAGTAGCCTACGTAATAAGAAATGTTCACAACAGAACACAGCCAAGGTTGGTCAGACAATAGTGTCAAGTTAGCTGAGGGTTGGACAAGTCTTAATTATTTGAACTGGGTCATCTGGAAGTAAAAGTAAAGATAAACATCAACACGTATGTTACTTATCACCTTTGGAGAGCTGGCATGATACATATCACGAGGGCCGTTAAATCAAATTAAACTAAATTAAAGCATGATTAGAGAATTGATATACTCACATGGATAATAACTTATGTATTTGTTTTTGCCCTTGTTTTCCTCCAGCTGTGAATCATTGTAAGGCCGGGTGAAGGTGGTGGGCAGCTTCTGTGATTAATGAAGGAACCGTGGGTTATTATATATTAAGTCCCAATAACATTGATAAATGATGGTTGATAATCAGCGTGTATACTATATGGTGTTTACATGACCCAGGACAAGAGACCATGCAGCTGATGACACTACTCACAAGATGAACAAATACAAATGAATGTGATCGTCATACAAATGCATTTCTTGTCGTAAGATGACAAAAGAATATCATATCTGGAAAACGTGTACATGACATATCTATATGCTTAAGAGCAAAGTGGCGTTAATCTGAAATCTGTGTTTGATTGATGTACACATTCCTGATTCAACTGACCTGAAACTCTGCCTGGAATCCCCCGACGGGCACCTGCAGCTCCTTGATCCGTTCCCCCAGCTGATCTACAGACACCACCGTCGCTGCAGGAGCTACCCCTATGTTGTAGTACATGGCATTGGGGTCCTCCTCTACATCGTCCTCGTCCTCCTTAAGACAGGCACAGGGTTGTCCACTCCCATTTCTAGTGGGTCCTCTATCCAATACATAGAAGTAATTATATAAGTAGATGTGCATTCTTTGTAGTAGCAACTGTTGCGCAACAATCGGGATTAATCCTCACACGAAGTTGTTTGAGAGCGTCGCATACGATTCTTGATCAAAAGTTTGAAGATTGCAAATTTCGAGGCCTCATCAAAGGTTTTTGTCAAATGTTTCAAATTAGACCCATCATTGCCAAAAACTACCACAGTAATGCGCTAGGTTATCAACTCCAGTGTCAAATATTTGAGCTATTACATGATAAGAATATCCATATCGGTAATTATGCATAGTCATACAGTATATATTGACACTATTGAGAGTTTTAAGACAGATCCGAGTCCATGGCGACATCTATTTGAGGCTGGTTATTTTAATCAAATACATCCTTTCTAAAAGAGAGAAAAACTTTCATTTAGAAATTCAACAATTCTTCGGACGATTGGTTGTACGAACCTTTGTGAATTTCTGAGTGATTATCAGACTGCTTCCGATGACTCCTTCGCCTTTGATCAAGAAAATATATTTTGGGTTAAATATGTTTACGTTGAAATCTCATATTTATTTGCATGTGTATGATGAACATTGTTACATTTAGATCACATTCTAATGTGTAATATTGGTGATGCGCACTTCCTGTGGGAGTTAAGAATTGGTAATTTGGTAAGTAAACCGATGAAAATGAACCGATGGAACGTTTCGATATTCTGATATGATAGTTACAGGCTTATGTTTACGCTTTGGATCAAATCAGACGATGTCAAGGACATTTCAGCTTAACGTACCAACGTACAGTTTTCTACAAGTTTTCAAACGATAGACTTTATGCCCCATTCATCAACTGTCACCCAATTGTCAGATTCTAGTGTGGAGAACAACATTGGGCATTCAAGTCTGAATTACATCTTGATTGAGTTCCCCCCACCTTGTATCATAACACTCAAACCTCACTAACTCAGTATACACATGCAGTTCGGCCGTAGTTTCGCCCACGCCGGCCCTTCATTCTGTATTGTATTTATGCTCAGATACTGCGTGTAGTGTTAGTGTTCATCACCTGAGGAGGACGACAACAACGGCAACCATGGCGACTACAGCAATGGCAGCAACAACGACACCGGCTATAACAGCAGGACTAGCGGACAACGGCTTACTGATTTCTAGAACAGAAACATAACTCTTACAACTGTTGCAAGTCTTCAGTACTATAGTCAATAACTTATATCATCCTCAAGGAATATGACAAATAAAAACTCATACTCTTTTTGAACAGCGTTTTGCCATTTTCCCATATATTCATTCTTCAAACAGTAAGACATCGTGAAATATATAGAACAAAGATAAGTGTTGCCGACAAATTGAAACATCTCTAGCAAGAGCATTCATATCTGCCAAAACGCGTTCGATAGACTCCACGTGCCGGCTTAAGTGCCTCTCACGAGATTTACTGCATTTAACATGAACATATGTTTATGGAAACACGAGTCATGAAACTGACCGTGTAACCTAAAAGAACTAAAACAAATATTTAGGAACACGAAATAGAGTTTGTGAGCCTTTAGATAGAATTGGGATACGTATATAGATTTGTAGAACTGCTTGGACAAAATTTTATAACTATAAAGATTCAGTTAAGTATAAAATGTTGATCTTAGTTTTCAGTTGATTGCATTGGAAGTATCATACTTGGATGTGTAATTTATTTGTCCGAAAAATAGAAATCTAAGTATTTTTCAGAAAAAGTAATACAAGTATAAGTGACACGTGAATCTCAATTCCATGTTAGTACAGTAAAAACCCAACAGCATCGTGTTCTTCTGAATGTGGCATGGACATGCATGTTTTGAACCTGAACAAGTAACATATTGATTTGTACCTGGTTCTGTCCATATCACCATAAAATATTTCCAAAAATAATACATTAAGATTAGCATTTGATATATGCAGTTTTCTGTGATACTAATTCTAAGATTACACAGCTTACAGTGTAAAAATCGTGGATCGCCTATTGAACCTACTACAGGGTCAGAAGCAGACAAAATGTCATTATTTCAAATGATAATATTATTGGACATAAGGGAAACATGGATACATATTGATGTCAATATGTGTAAGCAGACATACCGATATTTCATACAGCCAGTGATGTAGGACACTTTCTGATGTCTGTTACCTGTAGTGCAGTCTTCCCCCTTCCATCCTGCCTGACATCCATCTGTACACCGCCCTGTATCCTGGGGACAGGTACTTGTAGCTCCCTGGCACATCCGGGTACTGCAGAGCTTGGCACATCCAACTCCATATTCCATACCTTGGACACAGGCTGTAAAATATGGTTGTCAAGTATGTGTTCTGTCTAATCAAGATTGTGTCTTCAGTAAGACATAAATTCAGTGAAGTATGACACTTTCTGATGTCTGTTACCTGTAGTGCAGTCCTTCCCTCTCCACCCTGCCTGACATCCATCTGTACACCGTCCTGTATCCCGGGGACAGGTGCTTGTATCTCCCTGGCACATCCGGGTACTGCAGGTTTTGAGACACCCAACCCCGTATTCCATACCTTGAACACAAGCTGTACACAGGCAAGACTATTAGCGTCTAATGTAAGTTGTAGTCTATTTGAGAACGTCTGCACGGATCGACTCACCCAGTAGTCTCAGCGGGATACAACATAAAAAATCCTTTATGTTTATGCCCTGCGTTGTGTTATGTTTAGGTCATTTCAAGAACAAGTCTGTGGAAAATATATGAACATAAATTGTATCGTTCATACGTGGTTTCGTGGTCATGTGATCGGGCTCTCCTCAATAGAGAAACTGTACATGGTAGAAACTTGTCCGTAAAAGAATGAGAAATGAGTGCAATATCCCAGCATATACCAATAAGTTTGCTGTTTTATTCTTCGCTTAGCAGAAAAGTCGGTACAATCGATGTGCACGTGTCTTGGTAAAACCTACTGTGCATAATGATGCAGGTGAGCAGGAAAAGGATTTCGTCTGTTGTTATTACCTTGTGTGCAGTCTTCTCCCTTAAACCCTGACTGGCATCCGTTCTCACAGCGGCCTGAATCCTGGGGACAGGCGTCATTACCTCCCTCGCACTTCCGGGCACTGCAGTTACCCGAACACTTAGCTCCATATTCCACCCCTTGTATGCAGGCTGTCATTGGAAGAAGTTGTATATAGAAACAAGACTATACACAGACAAGTTATTCACAGGACAAAGTTCGTATTGCACAAGCTACGGTTCTATCAAACGGAAGCATGTTCAATTTACTTTATTTTGATGTCTCTAACATTTTGACGCATACGCTAAACAGTATTGAAACATGAATCGCTTTTTGTCATCTCCCATTACCCCGACTAACATCCGATCTCACCTCTCGGCCTGAATACTTTTACGTTATTTTGTGCAGTTATCCTTCGATTCTTATGCTTTTTATTCCATTAATATTTATATCATAATTAAGTTTGTTTGTATGATTATTTCTTACACTGACTTTAGATGTGCACGTGCTAGTGCTACGATCAAATTCAAGTGTTACGGTTCAGAAACTACCTTGTGAATCCCCTTTAGACCAGCAAAATAACACACAAACGAGTCTATAATATTCAATTATATATCGAATAAAGAAAAAAACAAGATTACAATGTATGACAGTAAAATGCAACACAATTGTATCACCAACTAAATGTCTATAGTCACAAAGGCTTGTTCCCTGTAGATAAACTGCTTGATGTTTGTTGACAGCTGAGAGTTCCATGTAGAGTGGTCGGTCTTGATCACGCATTCTCACTCAACATGCACATTTACTCTATTTCGTTGTTGCATGGTTGCAAAAATATTCTTCACAAAAGTTAGTTTAGAAATAAAGATACACTGGGTATTTGTGTTGATTCGCCATTACCATTTCAATAATACATAAAAATATATTATTACCATAGGTATAACATACCATTTTTGTTAAGTCGCATGTCGCCAGCGACGGTGTATATATTTTCTTGCATCCAAAATATCATTAGTCATAGTGAATGTTTATCTTTTCACTCACTCGTGTTGGATCGCGTGGAAGATATCATGCTGAATTCTACTGTGACGTAGTCATTTGACCTAATATTTGAGGGTATTAGTCAAATTTGAATGAAATTCCACTGTAGCCAATTCTATTATTTTACGTTATGCTCCAAAAGAAAGAAAACAACATCAAAAGAGAAAACGAATTCATTTAGTAACTTTAAGAACGTAATCGCTCAGGTTTTATTGAAGACACTGAACATCAAATCCATTTGTTGCAATAACTTTAAATATGCTGGGAAGATACAATGCATATACAGTACACCTTACGACGTTTTAAGACCTTATACATAATCTAAGCACATCTATATGGTCATCCGGTAAGGAGTATGCAACCTAGTACCTTTTCCCATCTCCTATATTCGCATTATATCATTTGTTTAGCTTGCGTGGCTCATGATAATGACTGATGTATTTAACGTTACGTATTCTACGTTATGGTATTTTACGCTACAGTTCCATATATGGCTATCTAACATCATATAGAGTGCTTACCCCAGTATCAAATTTGATGACGCTATGAAAACATGTTGCGTCATTTATGTTGATTCCAATGTGCGTGCTGCTTAGATCTGAAGCTCTGACGGTTAAATCATCGGTATGTAAGTACTGAAATTTCAACCTTATGATTCTTGTATATGTGTACAAGTCAAACTGTTAAACGTTTATCAATGCATGTAATGAAGTCATTATAATGAGAAGTACCATGTATAATCATGCTCGGTAATGAAAAACATACTGAAATTACCATATGGCATTCGTAACGTAAAATACAGTTACTGGCGTTAAATGAACATAACTGCCTATATAATTCAACGTTTGTTAAAGATATGTAATTAATTTATTTGTATTCGCAGTGTTCTGAAAATGACAAAAACTGCAGCCATTATGTTTGACTGTATTTTACGTTACAGTTGTATTAAATGTGTATTACCTTACAGTGATACATTTGATAACCACTATGGAGCAAATAAAATATTTCCAGGTCGCATAACTCCTTGACGTTGTTTATAGCTATACAAATGCCAGTGTAAGGCATTCAATATTACTTTAGATGAACTAGAAAATCTATTTGGAAATTCTTGTTTGAAGTTTCACCAATTGTCAATATAACGGTCAGATTCTATAATACATCTGATTACTCTTTTAATTTATTTGCCTTGAAATTAACTTTAGTTTGTTAAAGGAACTTAGCAAACAATTAAAACAAGTTGTACTATAGTTTTACATATATCTAACATTAATTTTTTTGTGACGTAAAATACACTAGAAAATACCCCCGCTGGCTTAAAGTAACTGCCGTTTATCAAAAACCCATAAGACATTGTATGCTATCATTCTGTACATAGGCCAAGTAAATGATACTTGTCGTTGCCATATCGAAAAAAACAACGATTTCCATTATCACAAATGTGAGTGAGAATGAGTGTGATACGTCGATGTTAGCAGACAGATGAGCGTAAATCAGATAAGTCGTTCCGTCATACATAACCAGAAAGTATCCCATATACCTATTATACAGTTCTAGAGTGTTCTGACAAAAGCTGTGCAAAACCACCATCTGCTCAGAGCTTCCAGAGTCCCACCGAAGACACCGGAAGCAAAACAAACAAAGGGAGGAAACTTCTCAGCTTACTCTTAACAGGTGAAAATACACAGCCTAAGTTCAATACAAGGTGTGAGTTCAAATCCATATTCAGCGCTTTAAACTTTTGTGACCCATAATAACTAGAAGTTAATTAATGTAACATTATATTTAACAAAAAACACATCCCCAAAAGACAAGCATGGCCTGAAATACGTGTACCTGACATTCAGCAAATATCAAGTTTCTGTACACTGTTTTCAAAGCTCGATATCTTTGAAAATCAATTGATTCACTTGTTGATAAGCAAATATGGGGCATCCTCAACTGACAAGTCAACAATGCTGGCATGTCAATGAGGACTGCTGCGAGAGATGTAACTTGTCATCCATCAGCTATCAGAAAACATCAGCAAGATAATCACGTAGCGCACTCCGTTCTCGTGGACCACGAGTGGCAACACCAAGGGCGGATACAGCCTTTCTCGGATTTCTCAAAAGACTTCATCCGTTAATGTCAAATGGCTTGTTAAAAACAGAATAGCCTCTACGTTGTACTTTGTCCAACAGATGGGTCCAAAATGCGGTAGAGTCCGACCTCAGACAAAAATAGCAGCACGACTAGCATGAGGTCATACGTCACGGAATTCGGGGTCATGGGGAAGGTGGATTTCTTTTGTTCATGAATGATGACAGAGCTCGTCTTTTGCGCCGCAGAAACACTGGTATGGGCAACGGAATATCTTGGAACAAGAATCGTTTGACGAGGGATCACTGATGATGTGGGAATGCCTCTGCGATGACTGTAGACTTGACCGTGTGACAATCAGATACAATAGGAATGGACAACCACACATTCAAGAAAGGGTTGTTGTACCACATTTTGATATCCATCCTCCAAACACAAGACCATCTTCAGAACGACAATGTTCGACGACAATTTCATGCGTCAACAGGCGGTAGCAACTCTTCCTTGGCAAGCCAGTATTCCGGTTCTCAATCCCATGGAGCATGCTTGGGACATGGATCGCAGATCGCCTCTAGTACACAGATGTATTTGAACACGCCTCTCAAGAACTACCTCAACGTTGAGTACAATGCCTGATACAGATAATGAGGAGTGTCTGGGATGTTATTACATTTGGCGGAGGTTACACCAGATACTGACATTATGCTCGGTTATTGATACTTGTGTGATTTCCCGAGGTTCTGACTTGGTAATGACATACACCATAGTCATGAACACTACAAAATGCGTCAATGTTATATATGTTTGGTTCTCTGTACATAGTACAGTTAACCTTTAACGTCACCTAGGCAATATTTCAGCCATATTGTGACGTGGAAGGTTGTACATACACGATAAATACAAGTAGTTAAATAACCAGTCATCGAAGGACTGTAAAGTAACTAGAATATCACAAAAGAGTTAAAACTAGCTAGCATATATCTTTAAAAGTAGAAAACAATTCAATTTTAAAATGGGGTATTGATCGCCAACAACTATAGGTAGATTACCATACTAGGGACCATGGGGACAATTCATTCAGATACCAAGTTGAGTTAAACGTTTAATGGAAACATAATGATAGTTTGAAAACTATTTTGTGCTCCGATATTTTTCTCTGTGTGCGTGTGTGCGTGCGTGCGTGTGCGTGTGTGTTCTTCAAAAGAAACATTTGAGCTGTCAGTTTAAGCTGTTTAATCTATAGTGTGTATATCCCTCGACTTCAAAAGAGGCATTAAATGTATAAATGTTCAAACAAATCCATCTATAGCTTTGGGAAATAATGTCCCGTTTTCGTTAATTGCCACATTGTTCTGAGAGATATGTTTTATAATCATCTCTGTCAGTAATTCTCTTACTCTCAGTACAGTCTGTTCCATCCCATCCTGCCTCACACCCGCCAACACACTGCCCTGTCACGTGATCACAGCTAGAGTTGTCGCCCTTGCAGTGTCTGTCTGAACACAACTTGGAACAATTTGTTCCATATCTGCCAACACCACAAACTGAAACAAGAACGCCTTGCTTTACAGGTTTGTTTGTGCATTTACTACTCTTTATTGTTTGTATATTTTACAAAATCTCAACACAGAACATTGGCATCAGCAGTATTGATAAAATTATTACATACCTGTAGAACAGAATTTCAATATTGTGTACTTCAAGTATGCATTTTAAACTATGCAGATAATTTAATTAAGATGGAAACTGCTCTTTAAACTACCCAGCATTCACTACTCATCGCCAGATAGTATCTTTCTCCAGTCTCCTTGTCCAGCCATGGCTTGGTTAGTGATTGTATTTCTATTGGTTCTGTAGTATATACGTTAACATTTCTCGTCTCTGCTCAACGCGGCCATCACTGAATGATTATGATAACACTGTCCTTATTAAAGTAAGTAACTTTGGATGTGTGATATATAGGTTGGTATTTATGTGCCAGTATTTGTTTACATATGGTATGTTACAGATGAGTATCTCACCTTACATAGTAGGTTCGTTTCATTGTAAAATGTTCTCAGATAAAAAATAATAATTTGCTAAATGTAACAATGTAATGATACGTTTGTATAATTACAGGTAGCTCTAACTGAGTGTGTGAGTGAGTGAGTTTAGTTTTACGCCGCACTCAGCAATAGTCCAGCTATATGGCGGCGGTCTGTAAATAATCGAGTCTGGACCAGACAATCCAGTGATCAACAACATGAGCATCGATCTGCGCAAATGGGAACCGATGACATGTGTCAACCAAGTCAGCGAGCCTGACTACCCGATCCCGTTAGTCGCCTCTTACGACAAGCATGGGTTACTGAAAGCCAATATTCTAACCCGGACCTTCACGGGTTAGCTCTAACTGTATACCAGTAATGTAACCTAATGTTTGTGTTTATTTGCGCTTATCACGATATCTACAGTGAGGGATCATCATATCCCTGATAGCACAGACATTAAATCACATGAACCCCTAGCAAGTATTCGTCATTATTCAGCCGTAAATGCAATCACTCTGTTACACCTGTAACTACAAATCCGTGTCACACCTGTTTGTTTGCCAGCTTGGTAGACAGTGGCAGTAGTTGTCACAGTCAGCACCGAAAGTACCAGCACCACACACTTAAAGATGCAAGACATCCAAATCAAGTACCGTTTACCATGATCGGATTATAGGACGAACACAAGAAAAGATACATTTAGAAGTTGAGACGTACAATACAATATAGAACATTTTTATGGACAACAACTTCTTTATTTCGTGAGTGTGACGTTTCGATACAGATTCTTGTATACAGTTGTCAAGCAGATTCCTAACTGTGCAACTGAATAATGTCAGTATAATGGGGTTGTGATCCAAACAACATCACAACGAATGATGCTAATTCTTACTGAATTTAAATGGTGTTTTTGCAGATAATATTATTGGACAAAAGGGAAACATGGGTAAATATTGATGTCGATATGTGTAAGCAGAATGACCGACATTTCATACATTCAGTGAATTATGTGCTTTCTGATGTCTGTTACCTGTAGTGCAGTCTTCCCCTTCCATCCTGCCTGACATCCTCCATCACACCGTCCTGTATCCCGTGGACAGGTGCTCCCATCTCCCTGGCACATCCGGGTACTGCAGGTTTTGTTACATCCATCTCCATATTCCACACTTTTGACACAAGCTGTACACAAACAAAACTAAGGGTGTCTAATGTGTGTTGTATTTTCAAACGTTTATTCATTTAGAATTCATAAAGAAATATGCATGGTCCGACTCATCACCCAGTCTCAAAGTTGTGAAACGGAATACTAACACGTGACACATCCTTTACGTTTACGCCCCGTGTCGTGTAATGGACAGGTCTGTGTTGCTGCTTTAGGTAATTTCAAGAACACGTCTATGGAAAATGTAATCTTCAAATGTTTATACGTGGCTTCGTGGTCACGTGACCGGTCTCTGAAGAGAAACCGAAAATGGCAGAAACGTTTCAGTCTCTGGGCGGAATCAGACGAAGTCAGTATTTTAAAAAACCATGCAAGTATTTGACAGATACATTCTTATGTGATTTACCAGTAGTGCAGTCTTCTCCCTTCCATCCTGGATGGCATCCGTTCTCACAGCGGCCTGAATCCTGAGGACAGGTGGCATTCCCTACCTCACACATACGGGCACTGCAGTTACCCGAACAGTTTGCTCCATATTCGACCCCTTGTATGCATGCTGTCATTGAAAGAAGTACATGGTGTATGCAGAAACAGGGCTGTACACAGACAATTTATTCATTAGACACGGCTCGTACTGAATAAGGATTGGTTCAGAATCTACCAAACAGAAGCAGATACTTTACTTTACTATATACTACTCACACTTTGCTAAGGATCACCAAAAATCACAACTTTACTTACACGTAGAGTTATAATTTGAAATTGTATTCATTTAAAACTGGATGCAAACACAACAAGTCCACAACACCTGTCAATAGCAGTTATGAGATCCACAAGATGAATGACATACTGAAACCAAGCATCCATGCTTACAATAAGCTTAGATACTAGTATTTAAACCAAATTTGACCCCATATGATAGTTTTCTGTTAAATCCATGATTTGATCCTTTGCAAAGTGTGAATAGTATATATTTAGATGCTCAAAATTCAACGCCCTTTACTCGGGCTGTAGACGATAAAAGGAACATAATTTTTCCAAGATGTGTATTCTCGAGTGGCAGTAAGAGACATAAACTGATATCCCGACGGATGAAACAACAAAAGTCATGGGCGTTTACGGACGTATCCTTCCCTATAGTGGCAATAACGTATATGCGAACGATCTGAAAACTCACCCTCTGTGCAATCAATATGCTTCCACCCGGGTACACACCCACGTTCACACTCCCCGGTCACGTGATTACAAGAGGAGATTCCGTTACACTTCCTTGAGGAACACAGATAAGCACAGCTTTCTCCATAGAAGTTCACACATTCTGAAGTAAGAACAGGAAATGTATAAGCAGTCTGATGTAGGAAGAATAGAGTTGTGGTATCTGTTATAATTCATCGACATTAAGTTTCTCCTTTACGACCCACTGTCTCGAACTGAATGAAGTGAGTGAGTGAGTGAGTGAGTTAAGATTTACAGTCACGTCGGCAATATTTAAGCCATAACTGTAGCCACTGAGTAAAACAAGTTTTAAATTGACGAAGGACGGTAAAACCAACTAGAATATCACAGTATCAAGAAATCAAACTAGCCTCTCTCTCTAAAATTTGATTTCGAATTAGGACAATACAGTGTAAAAATGTGCTATAGATCGCCAACAACTGAAGGTAGATCACCATATCAGGGACTTACAGGGACTTACAGTACCTTTGCTACCTGCATGGACCCTAGTTGGATTTACACCATCCCTTCAGATGTTGGCGATTGTAGACTAATCTAACCATAAATTAAAATAACATTTATCTTACGATTAAATAATGTGGTAGGTTTAAGTTTACCTTGAATGTTTTGGGACTTACGTTCCCTCTCAGGAGGACAAGAAGTTTACAGTACTTTAACCCCCTTTGAGGATACAGCCACTAACAATCTCAGTTACCAATCATAAAAGTACATCTATGTACAAAACATATTAATAAAAATGTGTCAATCAATTCTATCTCTTTTAAATATTCAATGATAAAATGGTAATTAACATTATAAAAAAGATCCTGCAATGTTTTGACATTGAAATATTTATCCCTTGTCATGGAAAAATCAATGAAGTCAAGTAGGACATGCTTGACCGTGATTCTTTCATCACAAGGGATGCAGAACGGAGGATCCTCACCTTTCAATAAGTACAATAACCTACTAAAATCTGGACTGACAACCCAAGTAGGTGTAACCAATATAGGGTTTTATTTCATGTAATTTATTGATACCTACTTGGGTGTCCCACTTCTTCTGCATCAGATCACGGATATAATATCTGATGATAGCTCTATAATCAGAGTATGGAATAAGATTTGTTGATCGGACATTGCGTTCCCAGAAATGCCAACGTGGCTGGGTAACCAACAAAAGACAATGTTGTATTGGCCAGTAGCAAGATCATTATACATTTCAATTATTTCAATTAAAAGTGGACGCATGCAAGAAATTTAAAAACATTTAATACCCGGAAGGCACAAAAGAGAGTCTGAAAAGAGTATATATTGTTTGTATTTAGGATGTGTTTTTTTAATATATTTTAGGGCTGTTAAAATGATTTGCTTCCGCTGTGAATATTGAATTGTGATCTGGTAATTGAGAAGATATTGTTCTGGATCCAATGACAGTGCTAAAAAGCCACTGCGCAACTGAGTGAAGTATTGCCCGTAGAAGTTATTGACTTGATTCGTGCCTGACAGAGACGGTCAGCTACATACTTCAGGAATATACACATACTTCAATATACTTCTTATCTTATATGGCGTCGGTAAGTAAATAAATGACCCGGGACCAGATGATCAACAGCATGAGCATCGATGTATGCAAATGGCACACGATGACCTGTTCACAACCAAGACAGCAAGCCTGGCCACCTATTCGTCGCCTCTTACGACAAGTATGGGTTGCTGAAAATCAATTCTAACCCAGATCTTCACTGATGTAAACTTCAATAAGCAATCGACAAAGTTTAACATGCTTAAACGACAGGCCACGTGAGCCGCGACTGCAACTCGTAACCAGCACAGGATCACTTGAAACCTAACCTGACGTGGAACGTGTCGGACATTTTGTATCACATCACATTAACACAGTAGCTGACAGGTATTTCTCATCTAGTGATATATAAATATATTTTCGTGCCTCTCTCATCCCCACCCCACCCCCACCCCTCCCTTAAACACAAAGCAAAACATTGAAACAAACAAAATACATTTGAGCAATCACACAGACGACTGCCTGTTGTCTGAGTGTCAGTTTAAACTGTATGTCATGCCTACCAACTGGAATAGTGTGTGTATATCCCTCGAGGCGCAAAACAAGAACAAGAATATATCTTAATCAATATTTCAATAAATCATCAGGCAATAACACATTTTGTTTTTCTCAGAAGAGTATGAGGTATGAGAGAGAATTTTTAGGATCATCTCTGTCAGCAATTCTCTTACTCTCAGTACAGTCTGCTCCATTCCACCCTGCCTCACAGCCGCCAACACACTCTCCTGTCACGTGGTCACAGGTAGAGTTGTCGTCCTTGCAGTGTCTGTCTGAGCAGACCTTGATACAGCTTTTTCCATAGCTGCCAACACCGCAAACTGAGACAAGCACATCCACACCGTTTATTTTCCATTAGTACTTATTCACTTTCACTTTTAGTTTACTTTATACAAAATACTCAGAAAATTGTCATCAACTGTATTGATAGTTAAACTATTAAAGACTTGCAACAACAAACCTCTGTCACACGTGTCTGTTTGCCAGCCTGGTAGACAGACTCCACTTGGACAAACGCCGGCTACGTAGTTGCACACATCACCGTCACAGTGGCAGTAGTTCTCACAGTCAGCACCGAATGTACCAGGAGCACACACTTAAAGATGCAAGATATCCAAAACATCTAACATTTACAATGGGAGGAATATAGGATGAGGGATACTCTACAGAACACAGAAAAGATACATTCAAGTTGATCATCTTCGTAAATGAGTGGCAATCCCTGCTATGTCCAACAAAAACATTCAAGGAATTAGATCATGAATTGATCATCTTCCAATGTCTACGTTAAGACTATCGTGCATGCTGAAAACAAAACAAAACATTTAAGTGAAGACCAAGCATGTTTACACTGAAAATATAATATTACTTAATAAACGCATGTGATGTGTACTGAATCCAGCAATGTAACATTATCAACAACTGTGACAGTTATTGCAACCATAACAACCAAGCGATTTTACAACAACCCCATGGGAAATTCCCATCTATACGTTACGTTGTGTTCTCCCTGTTCAACGTCAAGTCATTTAAGCATCACACTTGTATCTTATTTTTAGGAGTAGAAAGTAACATCATTGTTCCCACCGTCAACTTCCACTTCACAGAAATCCAGGATAGGTACGTTCACATTGTCGTTGTTGACAGTGGTGGTGTACAGGACCAGGTAGCGCCCTTCACCAGAACACGTGACCTTCAGAACATCAGGTATGTCTGTCCCGTCTCTGTTCCCTGTCACGTTGTAGCAGTTGACTCCGTCAGTTGGAGAGGCGGCAATGTCAGCTATGTAGATCTGGATACCATTCCGACGAACTTTATCTGTTACATGTGAAAAATGGGGATTAGAATTGGCACATGTCTTGTGGAAGCTGGCACGGATCTCAACACAACATTATCCGCCTAAGTGTTAGTAGCTTTAGTGATCTTAACATGTCTTATATGCCCATGGGTATATTGCAGATGTCTAAGATCAACAGTTTGACTAAACAAATAATGTGTCCTGCATTCATGTTCCAGACACATATTAAGTCTTTGAAGTGAATATAGAAGTGACACACATAAAGGCGAGAAAATATGGATGTTAATTTCAGTAGTTATATGGCGCTAATTGGTAGTGACAATGGACAAATAGACGCCAGGAAAGCTCAGACAAAAATTATTCAGCGACTCATTTTTCTTACATTA